AGAGAGAGAGAGAGAGAGAGAGAGAGAGAGAGAGAGAGAGAGAGAGAGAGAGAGAGAGAAAGAGAGAGAGAGAGAGAGAGATAGAGAGAGAGAGAAAAAGAGAGAGAGAGTGGGGAGGGATCCACTTACTCTAATAGTGAATCTACATAAATTTACTCTACTCAATAATTCATGTTCTACATCAAATTTTAACAATCAAACCGTTAAATTAAATATTTTTAGTACATAAATCAAGTATATAATTTTTTTAAAAAATTTGAAAACTATTTGCTTTGAGAATCATACAATCTCGCTACATCAAGCTATTTCATGGATTTTTGTTGGGGATGCATTGTCTAGCAGGTTGTCCAAAGGTCATTGCTCTCATTCTATGGTAGAGTTTCAAATTATGAAACATTTTTCTAGCTACTCTTAAGCCTCCTATTGACCATGTTATTAAACAAGTTGATTGGTATCCTCTAGCTATTGGTTTCATTAAATGTAATATTGATTGTGGAGCTTGTGGAGGTCTCGAGCATACAACTAGTGGTGGTATTTTTAGGGATAGTGGTGGTGCTTTTGTTGGTGACTTTACCTCATATATTAACATGTAACCAATCCTATAGGCAAAACTCATTATACTAATGATTAGTGTTAAATATGCTCATTCAATTGGTTGACATCAACTATGGTTGGAAAATGATTCGGAGTTTGCTTTAAAAGCTTTTTCTAATGTGAGCCTAGCCCCTGGGATCTCCATAACATGTAGAAGCATTGTTTAATTCTTCGTTTACAAATAAATCTTGTCTTTTCTCACATTTATAGGGAAAACAATCAATGTGCTGAAAAGTTAGTTAGTTTTGGACTTGTTTATGGATGGTTTTTTATGGTGGCATGTTATGCCCTCTTTTATTAGGTTTTTTATGGTGGCATGTTATGCCCTCTTTTATTAGGTTTTTTTTCTTCAATAATTGGAGTGGTTTACCATCATTTCGATTTTGTTGATCAGTACATGAGTTTTAGTCTATGTCTCCCCATGTATATTTTTATTTTTATTTTTTCTACTTTTTATATATTTTTTTGGTCTGTTACAAATGATTGATTGGTCTCGGGGTGTTTACCATGTTGGAATGCCTTGATCCTGCTTAGCATGCCAATAATTTTACTAAAAAAAGGCTTTCTTTCTCTCTCTCTAAAAAAAAAGAAAAAAAAAATCTCACTATTCCGCTCTTCACTTAATCCTTCATCTCTTAGAAAGGATATGCAACTTATATATATATATATATATATATATAAAAGGATCCACTTACTTTAAGAGTAAGTCTTGATAGACTCACTTCACTCAATACTTCATATTTTACATTAAATTTTATTGATGCGACAGTTAAATTAGAAGTTTTTTAATACATAAATTTAATTTACAAATTTTTATAAATAAAAAATAGTACTTCGAGTTTTTAATTCAAATCGAGGGAATATCGCATTATAATCTTGTCTAATTTTATTGCTTCTTAATTGTTCGAATTATGGTTCTTTTTTCTATCTCTTGGAAACTAGTTATATAATGGTGAGAATACAATGGATCGAGTATTTTTGGTCAGTAAACATTTTGGTCCATTACGTGAGATGTTGCTTTAAATTAATACTTGAGTTGTTGCTTTCGGTACACTTTTATTGCCAACTAATTATAGACCCACTCCTCAGATATTTAGTTTTCTTTGTCTTACTACGCCAGACAAACATTTAATGTATAAGACACTTTGTACGAGTAAGAAGGATAAAATTTATCCGTAATTCTTTATATATGTTGTTTGCTATTATTTTTTTAATTAAAATTAGCTGGTTTAAAAAAATTGTATAAAAATTTATATCAACATAAATTATTTAGGAAAATTTCTAATTCCTAATAAAATAATAACATCTAAAGCACATAAAAGCTAAATTAAAATTTTTCACTGTATAAAAGCTGGTTGAAGTCGAAAATTATATCAGTATATATGTCCTGGCCCAGTTTTGTCCCTCTATAAAAGCTAGCTGGATATCGATAGCTATATAGCAGCATGCTTTTGAGTCCAAATGCATC